AGGGAGCCCGATGCGGGACTCGATCCTGGGACTCCAGGATCATGACCTGAGCCGAAGGCAGTCGCTTAACCGACTGAGCCACCCAGGCGCCCCCTGTTTTTTCTATCTGTGTGACCTTTAGCATGTGATCTAACCTCTCTGTGTCTCATTGGCAAATGGGAATTAAGCTATTGTTATTTAAGGTGACTTCACATATTTTGCTTGTCATCCTTTCACATGTTTATGCTACAGTTAAACTTTTGATGATAATAATAATGATGGTTAACTTTTATTACACACTTAATGAGCCAGGCATTGTGATAAGCACCATGCCACGGAACTGCTCTAAGACATTGATGCTATGGTTGTCCTTATCTTAGAGTCAATGCTGCTGATACTCTAGCATGTGATACATAGCTGTGAAATCCAGAGACTTCGCAAAAAATTGTGGCCTATACATTCTTTAAAAAACTTCATGTTAAAAAAAAAAAACAAAAAAAAAAACTTCATGTTTTCTTTAATGAACCTTTATTTAATTAGGTCATGCTAAATTTGTATATAATAGCAGGGGTACATTTTCTTGCAGGTGAGAAAACTGTCAAAGAAAATGCTTCCACAGACTGTAGGAAAAATACAGGCTGGCTAGAATCATGAAAGGAAATGTGACAAAGTTCTGGATAAATGCTGGGATTATGCAAGCAAAGGAAAAGAAAATGATTTGCGGGTTTGCTTTGGCAACTTGTTTCTTAATATTCCTGTATATGAAACTTACTTTCTTTCCAAGTTCCCAACCCTATTCTGTGAGCCATCCTTGACAAGCTGGTCATCGGGTTCTGTTTAACTCTCCTTTTCACCTCAGTTTACCTTAACGCTTAATTTAAGAGCCTAGAAGGAAATGCTTAAGCAAGAGAAATAAATTTGCAGAGGAAGGCAGGTAAAACCCTGGGTTTGCCTATAAATGGATTATTTTGATAGAGTTGGATTTGCTTCTTATTTTTGGCCCTGAAGGTAATAAGTGTGTTTGTGTGTGTGGTACAGCAGACAGGAAAGGAAGGAGAGGTCTGCACAGCAAATGGCACATGTTTCCATTTGTTTATGTTCAGCACTTGAATAACTTTAGTATTTGCACAGCTGAAGGAAAGGAAAGCACCCTGAGAATAGACACCATGAGGAACTCTAGAAGCTTGCAAACGAGAAACACATGAAATGGATGGAAAAGAGCCACAAATGTTATAAGTAAAAAGGACCCCAGCCAAAATAAACCACATGTTGGGATGCTCTCTTCTAAAGGGAATCGATAAGGAGCACATTGAAATAATTATTCTGACAGTTCTCAATGCTGCTTCTTTATTTTTGTTATGAAGGTATCAATACAGAGAAATTCGGAGATTGGGAAGATAGACATTTCTGCACAGTATAGTGAAAATACAAGAGCCTCTGGATCAGACAAAACAAATGGTTAATTCCATCTCTATAATTTTCAAAGACGATGCGTGGGGGTTTTACTTAATCTCTCAGAATGTCAGTTTCCTCCTCTGTAATGCAAGAGTAAGGCTAAAAAAGTATGATGAAGTTAAAAGTTGTGTGTTTTTTTTTTTTTTAAGAAAAAGCTCTTTGTCCACTTTAGACATCATATTTTCTCAGTTTCATCTGGTTTTAATTCTTCCTCTCTCTTCCACTTACTTTTTGACTGGGACCACAAGCACTGCATATATGTGTTTATGTGATGTGGTTTAGTACATATATACACACGCACAATTTGGGGGACTTGATTTCTCCTTTCAGATTAAGGTGAAACATTTCACCCTCGATTTATAGGCAGAGCAGGTTACAAAACTGTAGAATGATACGTGACCAACTGCACCACCTAACAAACATTAACTAAATGGCGGTTGTAACAGTTCCTCTTACCCCTGTAGGTGCCCTTAGGCCTTTGCTATAGTGAGACCAGTTGCAAACTCACCTATCTGTCTTGTACTGTCTCCCTTTGGCCAGTGGGATGATCAGCACAGCACTGCTTATAACTATTCTGCCCTTGCTATGTCTGGGTAATGAGACTGATTGTAAGCCGGACCTTCCTCGATGTAGAAAAATAGAAACCATGGAAGATACAGCAAGCCAATTAGCCATAAGGAGAATGGATAGGCCTTTCACACAAACCAAAACCCATGCATCCTTAGCCTCACCGGCTATAAGTTTTTACACCTTTGTTATCCTTTCTCTCCTCCCAGGGTTAGCACCATATATGACACCCTGAAGGCTGGTAAATAACTGATCATCCTATCAGATTTGTCATTTAACATTAGCCTGGCAGCTGCCCTGTTTGGGTTATGTGTGCATCCTTCCAGAACTGAGTCTCAATAATGGTGATATGTTGTCTGCCCATCTAGCAGACAGTCAGTTCCCACATCCTGGCCCCACCCCCACCCTGGGGATCCTGCCCTAATCTTTAACTGCCCACAGTCACCTAATATAGACTGAAAATGGGACAAGGAGAAACACAGAATTTAAAAACAAGTGCTCAGTCAGAGGAAGATCAATGTAGACCTTGTTTACCACTTGGCTAAAGGGCTCATTGTTTACCACACTGGCTAAATAAGGTTGCCTTTCATGGTCTTCATGGTGTGGATTTTTGTTAGGTGGTATATTGGCAGTGAAACTCACCTTATTTAGTCTCTTTTTTTCTTGTAGCAAGTGGCAAAGGAGTTGGAAACACACTGTGGCAGCCCTAGCAATGGAAATAGTTTGGTTACAGAGACACTGACAAGTTCAGCCATAAACTTCTTCCACACTAGCCTCCCAAGGCACCGAGTTCTACCATTAGAATCCCATTATTTTGCCTACAAGAAAAGATCTGATCTTTTATTGTTAGCACCATTTAATTTAAAATATTTAGGGCCTTGAGGGAAACCTAAAGTACTACTCTGCTTATATTAGGGTTAGAAGAAGCATCAAGGACAAGAATAATTAATAGGACAATTAATAGGGCAAGATAAGTGTAGGTACTGAGATCCTGGGGGTAGGAAAGACCTTTTTCTGATATAGAGTGTGTGTGTGTGTGGAGGGGCGGGGGGGAGGCATCCTGGGTCTTGGGGATGAGAGGGGGGCTGCTGAGGACAAAGGAAGATTGCAATTTGACAAATGTAAGGGAAATTTAATATACAGCCAGATCTCTGTGCAGATGAAATAGAAATATATTAACTGCGACTCGATTTAAAATTTAAATGCATTGGCTTTCAGAATGGACCATCTGAAAATGCTTTATAAAAACCGTAGAGTTCTTTTCTAAAATTTAGCCTAGTCATGAAGCACATGGAGAGCATACACTGTCTGAAAGTTACAATACCAGTGATTTGCTCTTTCTTCTTTTCAGAACAAACAATAAATCAGAAACCAGAAAGTGATCAAAGATATGTATGAATGAGCTTAAAAGTAAGGCAAACAATTTTAAGTATAACTGAAAAACAAAAACAAGTAAGGTGTTACATTCTTTAAAACTTTTGCAATTATTTAAAATATCTCCTTTCATTTTAGGGGCTCCTGGGTGGCTAAGTTGGTTAAGCATCTGACTCTTGGTTTCGGCTCAGGTCGTGATCTCATGGTCATGAGATCAAGCTCTGCATTGAACCTTGCATCAGGCTTCACCCTCAGTGTGGAGTCTGCATGGGTTTCTCTCTCTCTCCCCATAAATAAAGAAAGAATTAATTTTTAAAAATCTCTTTTCAAAAAAAAAATAAGAAATAATAAAATATTAAAAAAATCTTTCATTTTAGAAATCAAAGGTAACATAACAATTATTATCTGCTGAGGACACCAGTTCAACCTGTAGAGCTATATAACACAAAATTGGAAACAGATGAAGGTGACTACATCAGAAAACTGGGGTTTTCTGAATATATTTTTATTTTTTACTGAATAATGCAGTCGATTGTTCTAATACTTTCATAGTGCAGGAATAATAATAGTAAATGAAAAAATTAATATTCATTAAGCTTTTATTAAGTATCAGAAGTTTCTAAAATTGTTATATGTAAAATGTCCATGACATGATGTGGTAGAAACTGTAATCTCCATTTTATAGGTAAGAAAACTAAGAGTTCAGGAGACCTAACTAATAGCTTACTACAGTAAATGCTAGAGCCAGGAATATAAGGGCAATTAGAGAATCTTAGGAGGGAATTTAAATTCATTTGGCTTTGGCAAAATGGTTTCCCATTGGTACCTAATTAATATCTTCAAAGCAAACAATTGCTTAGAAGCAATTGTAATAGGTTAGCTTAAACCTACTATTACCTTGAACTGTGATCAGGCAGTCCTATGATCAGGCACTAAAAGTATAACCTATTTCAATCTCATTCAAAACAATTTCTCTCATAAGTCGCCACCATCTTCCCATATTCAAGTTACTCTTCATTTATTACAATCCTATTTTCCCCCCAAGTGTTTAACATAACAGGAAGAGAATTCCAAAATCATGCCAAACCTTTAATGCATTCCACAATTAATCTCCAACCCACTCATTTATTAATTCATTCAATGAATATTGAGTGCCCACCACATACTAGTCACAATTCTTGATACCCAAGCCTTTATGGAGTTCCTTGTATTTTGGTAGGAAAAAGAGACACTAGATAGATAAAATAATGTCGATATGTTCTTGTGTCAAAATCTGGGAGTTGTCACACAGTAACCACTTATCTCCTTTCTCAGTAAGTTATCCTCTGAATTTTAGCTGGGCGCACAGCCACACAGAATAACATCTGTATTTCCCAGCCTCCCTTGAGCTCTGTATGGCTACTCGACTAAGTTCTGGACAAGGGGATGTAAGCCAAAGAGATCTGAGCAATATCAGGACATGTTCTGAAGAGGAGACAGTGTGCCTTTCTCATTACTTTTTCCTTTTTCTGCTAACTAAAATATGAACATGCTGGCTAGAGCTGGAGCAGCCACTGAGGCCCAAGGGGACTGCATGTTAGGGATAAGGGAGCAAAAAATTAGAAGGCAATTGAGCCCCTGATGATTATGTCAATCACACCAATCCTAGATTATTTACCTCTGGTCTAAGTATATATGTGGGAAAAACAAACTTCTGTCTTTTTAAAATTTCTGTTTTGGGGGTTTTTCATCCACTTCCATTTGACTTTAATATTAATGAAAAATATAAAGAAAAATGAAGCAAAATTAGGAACCAGAGCGTGGCACCATGTGATATTTTAGACATGGTGACTGGGGAAGTGCTTTATAAGGAATCAGTAATTGAATGGAGTCCTGATTGCATGGGAGAGTGAGCCACATGGGTCGAAGAAGAGCATGTTCCATCAAGCGGGAAATAGTAAAAGCAAAGCCCAGAAATGAGAATATACTTCTTCTGTGCTCAAAGACCAGCAAGGAGGCCAATAAAGCCCACCTTCCAAACCTGTTATCTTCTCATTCTCCCAAACAGGAATCCTTCACACCAGACCTTGCAAAGATTAGTCAACTTTGTAGGCTCTCTTCTTTATAGGTCTCTTCAAAAAGTATGACCCAGTTATGAGTCTCAGCTTTTACTCAAATAGCTTCATGGTTCAACCTTTAACACCATTGCCAAGTGTTCCCCCACTTTGCCATTCAAATATTACCCATTTTTCTGGACCTAGCATAATTCTCACTCCTGCTTAAGGAATGGTTCTACTGGTTAACCCAACATTGCTTTCTTCATTCTTGAAACTCCATAGATATTATTACCCATACTTTCATTGTAATGGTTAATGATCTATCATTCTGTTCTAATTCATGTACGTGTCTCTTGCCACGTCAAGAAGATGCAGCATAAGATCTACATCTTAACAAGTTTTAAAAATCCCTTTTGGCTACTATCTCCTCAAAGAGAAGGTGCTCCATAAAAACTTTCTGTATGTTCCTTCAACCATCTCACAAACTAGAAACACAATGGAGAGAACCTAATCTTTCTCTGTTCCTCCCTTTCGCCAGGAAGATATGAGTAGCTGAAGTATTTGGTGCTATATATAGTCAGTTGATGTCAGCTGGATGCCAGTCTCTTCAGAAAGGCTCAGTCCCCAGTTTGAGTCAGAGCTAGGGACCATGCCGTCCCAGGCTCAGGGATAAAAACCATCGGGCCCAAGTGCCATCCATATTCCATCTCCACTCTTTCCTCCACAAATTGGGACTCATCCCTGCTGTAAAGCACAGCCTAAGAGCAAGGTGAGTATATTGTTTCCTAAAATGTTTTATTAGTCAGTTGTCCAAGGAGGTTCAGAGTTATGACCCATAAATGGGCCTTCTTTGCTTTAAAGGGCAGCTGTTGATGCTAATATTAAAATGCCACCACCAAAGAGTTCTGCTTTAATCTAGTGTCCTTTCTTCATTCTTACAGTTTGCTGGAACTGATGTACCGTGATGCTGGTACAAATGAAGGCCAGTAAGGAAACGATGACAGATTAAAATAAACTGTGGAAAAGAAAGAGGGAGGGGAGAGGAGGCAGCTCTCTCATTGTTTCTCCTTGCCTGGGGACCATTGTACAAGTGTATAGATAAGACTGGGACTGAAACTCTGAGTATTATCTTCTGTTCACTGTGATATTGCCTGTCAATGATTAACATGCTCTGTCACAAGATAGATAAGGCATATTAAAGTCACTCAATAGAAACAATAATAAATTCCTAATAAAGAACGAAGATGCTCTCTTTCAAAAGGATGATTATAAAATACTCCAGATGAGTTCTTCACATTGTCTCAATAACGTTCCTTTATTTTCCACAGGGAACAAAAGACCATGCTTTCACATAATACCATGGTGAAGCAGAGAAAACAGCAAGCATCAGCCATCATGAAGGAAATCCATGGAAATGGTATCAATGAAAATCCTTTTTTAGCATTACTCTAGCTCAGCATTAACAAAGATCCTTCCTAATGATATTTAATATTCTATAGTTTACTTCCTTTAAATTCTTGCTATTCTGTCATAACAAACCTGGAGCTCTAGGGGGTGTAGAAAAGCCTATGGTAACTAATCCTTTTGTAGTCATCCTTTCTCATCTGAAAGCTATTTTCAGATGAACAACTGCTCTAAAGGAATGAAGCAATCTGACAGCTGATGTACATTCTGCTTGGCTTGCCTTTCACATTTCACATTATAAGTTAACATCACTCTCAATTCCTTTTTTTGGACAGGTCTCATACTTGTCTTCATGGTCCAACCCACATGGCATATCTTGCTTTCTTTTACCTTATATATTACATAAAACATTAAAAATATATTCTATCATCTTTTTTGTACAAAAACTGTTAAGTTGGAATTCAGATTATGAATTTCTTTAACCCCGAAACCAGTCTTCATATTTGGTAATTGGTTTACTAAGATATTTTCAATAGAAATCTACTTTTATTTATGATGTCTAGGGAAATATAAAGTTTATGTAGTCTCAAAGCATATGACTCAAAAAATTTAATATAAATTAGATGCAAGATGATATTCCATTCTCCTTTTCCTTAAGTTCTAGCAAATACCTCTAGAAAGCAATGATTTATAAATTGCATTTGATTGTTATAAAGGAAACTTTATGAGCGAAGGATAGCATCAATTTTAAAAGTGAATGGGTAGAATATCCAGATGCTTTTAAGGGCTGATTTGAGCCATTCCAGATATATCTGGAGTTTTCAGAATGCCTCCTTATTTCCCCTCCATTGAACAAGGAATGTAACCTTTCACCTGAACACTATTGAGACCTAGAGGCATGAGATCTGGTGGGGGCAGCCGGGAACAGGGGTAAGTATAGTGTTTTCATATTTCACCTTCCATAAAGCACACTGCATAGAACCAGTCAAAGATTGTTTCAGATACTCTCCATATAATGTAGTCATATCTAAAGAGTCCTGTTTTTAAGTTTCATTTTCTATTTTCTGGAATATAAAATTAGCATACTGGATTCAACTTAGTTTCCATGTTTTACTATGATGTCAGACTAGCTTGGAATAAAGTGAGAATAATTCTGAATCAGATTCCAGAACTAAACTTGTACGGGTCCAAAATTCAAAAATTCACACTTCTTTTAAATTTTTATGCTTCTTTATAGTTCCTGGTTCAGGTAGTTTACTTGAAATTGTTTTTATAGTTTTCCTGATCAACAAGGAAAAACTGGATGAACACTTGAGTTTGAGAATAAATTATTTACCTTAAAACTGGACTTGAGATAAGTTATTTTCTAATTGCATTCTAATCATTAATCAATTGATCCATTTAATGTATTCCCAGTTTAAATCATGTGTTGGATTCTACTCTATGTTAGTCCTGACATAGACCTTCAAGGGTAAGAATATCTTTTTCTTATAACATAAATTTTGTGTTTATGAAATATAAAGAAAAAATACAATTCTATCTCAAGGGGAAAAAAACCCTCCAAACTATTATCTTACCACCAGTAGATCCTGGCCATGTAAAGTCTGCTGAAGCCTCCCCTCCCAAGTCATGGGTAGATTTCCAGCCCCCTTAAGGGGAGTCACATGCTCTGCCTGTGTTTGGAGGTCAAGTATCCAGATAATGCAGGATGATCGCAGACTTTCTTAACTCATCTGAGATACAATAGCTGTAGTACTTTATGAAACAGCTTAAATAATTTCCCTCTCTTATTTCCTCTGACATCTTATATGGAACTTTACTATTTGTGTATGACATGGTGTCTAGAGATCCAGAGCTAGGGAAGTGTCATGAATGCTGAGATGAGACAGACTGCAAAGAAACCTTTTCGGGAATAATCCTCCAAACTTTCAAATACTTCACAGCAGCAAAAATCTGGATAATTTAAGATAGAGCATGCAACTGTTTTGATCTTAATTATAACACTTAGTAAATCAAACTTGGGTTGGATTTTCCCTTATAAAATTGAACAGAGAAGGATGTTTTCAAAGCCCTCCTTCTCTCCTTGTGCATCAGGATTTTTTTTCTTTTGTACTTGGAACTCCTTTATTTTTTATATCACTTTTCAAAAACATTTAGCCTGGAGAAGAATGAAACGTGACAATGAACTGACTAAATGGGTTGTTTTTTAACATGAACTGCAAGTTCACTCCAGTTCTTGTCGTTTGGTAGAGACACTATAGCTGGTGAACCTTTGAGATCAATCGGTAGGAAAATGTAAGAATCAAAAAAGGAGAGTTGTACATCAGAGCACTCATTCCATCTGAAGGAGAAATAACCTCCAAGAATTAATGAAAAATCTTACCCATCTAGACTAAAATACATAGAACTGGATAGAATGAGTAAAAATGTAGATAACTTCCAGCTTCTACTAACTACACCCCAAATTGTTACTCATTACAGATCCATTATGTTTGTCATGTCAGATTATGTCCCAGCAGCAACTATACCACACTCCCAACAAATAATTAATAGAAAGTATCCCCTGACACGAAGGCTCTATACTGTCACATCGTTACATCATTATATCATCATCATCATCATCATGATCATCATCAATATTAGAAGGAATAGAGCTGATGGTAGCAATCGTCTTGGCGTTACTGCTGTGAAACAAAACTTCTGTGCTTTATACAGAAGTAAGAGAACCATGTTGCTACCATCTAACAAGTGCTATTCTAAGACAGGCAAAAATACAAAAATATTTTGCCATTATCCGTGCATGAATTAGTTGTGGGGGCAAGAATAGTTGGCTTATCAAAGTTTCATGCCCCCCAGCCCTGTGCCATTTACCCCTAATTCGTACATATTCTCCGGTATTAATCCTGTTCCTCTTCTCACTAAATCTTCCAGACTTGAATACTGGAGGAGGAGGGAGAGAGATAGGGAAGCATAAAATGATAGGGAGTGATAAGTTGACAGAAAGAGGAGGGAGAGTAAGAATAGAAGCAGGTGATGCTCTAGAGAGCCACTGGCATCTGTCCCGACGTGGTGGGGAGAAGGAATTGGAATGAAAATAACCATAAGAAGAACTGGGCATACGCTGACCCCCAGTCTTACACACAGATGTAACTGACAGATTAGAAGAACTTCAGAAACAGGGAAGACCACAGTGCCTCGGAAGGCTGCTTCAGTCACCCTACAGTTTTTTCACTGGGGCTCTGTGAGGGCTTTTTTGGGATGTTTTTTGTTTATGTTTTTAATTTTTCCCTGCATGACTGGTGAACAGCTTTTCCCAGCACACAGAAGAGGACTGAGCAGCCTGTTTTTGTGACTTCAGGAAAAGAGTTTAGCTTTGTGGTTTGAAAACAGGAAGCCCGGGTTCTAAATGGAGTGCTGTTGTTGGTATGGTACCAGGAGCCCTGGGTTCCAGACCAGACCTCAGATGCCTCATCTGAACATGAGGAGGTTGGATTTGCTGATCCATTTAATTCTAAAATTCCATGATTCTAATTTACTGAGCTGTGTGCTACAGTCAAACATCAGCATATCTGAGTTTCTCCAATAACAAAGACAAAGCTAATATTAACATAAATTGCAAGGGCACTTTGAAAAGTATAGAGTATAAAATCTAGAAATTCAGATGGAAGATTACGTGAAGACCCCTTTTGCTTTTCCTGCATCAGCATATCTTAAACTATAATGTTTTAATCAAGCCATCAAATTTAAAATTAGGACACCAAGAAGGCCTTAAATATCACAGATCAAATATGAAAAGTTTGGGGAGAAAAAGAACTTAACCTAATGCTTCAGTGTACAAGTTTATTAGTCTTCCTTGGTTTAAATTTTCACATCAGCACTCCATAACCCCAAGAAAAGTGTGCTTTTTTGGGAAATTAGTAAATTCATAAGATTTTTTGAGCATGCCATAGGTTTCTAAACTTCTATAAAGGTCCTTCAGAAAAGTAGCACCAGAGAGCTAGAATAAATTCTAGTCACTACCCAAGCAGAAATCACAGTATTAAGTCCAACCATACTATTCTATCATCCTAGTTTCTTTGTTGTCTTTTTCACTCTAATATGCTATACATGTGCATTTCATAAACAGTACTAGATGATTGTGTAATTCCAAACTGTGTAATTCAATATATTGGTAATCTCATTTCTTAAATGTTTAAAAAATTACAGTTACTAAATGATAATATTTTATAGTAAGTTTTTGAAAACTGTATAAAATAGCTATAGAACTCAAATCAAAGCAAAGAGATATAAAATAGGAAATTAAAGAATCTCAGATGGATTTCAAAATCAACTTTTTAATGTAAAGAAAATTATTAATGGCCTTATTATCAACTGTAGTCTTTTCAGGCATTATTCAAAATGACAGTCTGGACTATTATCTTTCATGTAATATGTATATGTGTATGTTACATTTTGAAATAAAGCATATTTTATGGACTATTATTCAATCCACTTAGGCCAACTATCTGTATACAAGCAGAAGAGACTTGTGCAATACAAAGAAAATTGTTGGCCTCAGGCTTCTAAGTAAATCAATAGGACCACCGTAGAGCAAGTCAGTTTCGTTAACTCCCCTCCACTGGTTTTGCCCATTCTACCAGAATTGCAACTGCCAAGGAATCATGGGAAAAGAGGGTTTTTTTAATTAAGATCTTTTGTCTTACTACAGTTATGTGTAAATGAGTATCTTTACAAACCATGAATTAGATTCACTGATCTAACTAAATATGTAACTTTTGGTAGGATCAAAATTTCACATTAAATGTGTAAAACTACCTGTGCACACATAAATCATTTGATCAAGTTTCAGAACGTTAATGTATGAAATAAATGTGAAAAAAAGAATGTTTCCTTTTGGAGGAACTTAAGTCCAGTGTTTGTTCATAAGACTATGCATTAATGTAAGGTTTGAAAAAGGAACTGATCACATTTTCAAAGATCACATATTGTCTCAATAAAATGCAATTTTCCATT